ATATTTCTGCAAATATTAATTACCTGAGAAGAGGTCTAGCCCATGCAATGAGAAACTTCAGACCAACAGGTCACAAGACTGAAGAAAAAGTTAAGATTTAGAGATCATAGTAAGATGTTAAAGATTAAAATTTAGACTTATTTTCGAAAAATTAAATAGTACCTTTGTGAATGTCCGGTTCATCGAAGACTGTAGATTTGTGACAATCCTAAACCATACCAAAGTAAAGAACAACAAAAGACTATTTAGGAATGTAATGTGTAAAAATTTTCAATCAGGATTTATAGGGAAAGGTTGTCGTCATTGGATCACTCCAAGAGAGCTGGGTGTATCATCATTATAGTTTAACAAGCAAAAATGAAAGGTTAGGATAAATTATTACCTTTAATCTTTTTACAGGCCCAGTACTGCTTGCTGTTAGAGGTACCTAAATTAAAAATTTGTCAATTTTTATATTGTAGCAAAAATAAACTTCAGTTAATAGATTTGTATTTGTATCCTAGCCATGAATCAGCCCAAGAATAATATCCAGTCTGGGATTAACGCTAGGAATTGATATTCCCATCAGAAGATTAGACTTGAACCCGATAACAGGTTAAGCCTTGCCCAGATTCTGAGGGTTAAAACATTTACAGAGATTAATAAAATATTAAAATCTTACCCGGCAAGAAATTTTGACCCTGTGAGCTTTCTCTTAATATCCCAAGTCCTTAAAAAATGTATATGATTGAAGAACACTAATGCAAAAATTAAATAAGGTAAATTTTAGAGATTTAGATTTCAGTTGGTAGTGCATGTTTGAGTAATCATCGTTTTCAGATAATGTAGGTAAGTTTGATCATCATTTTAAGAAGTTTTCGACCGGAAGCGTAATTTTGAGTAACCTTCTCTTGAGGGCATGCACGATTTACAATGATACCGTTAAAACCTTTGTTAGATCAAAGATTGTAAATATTCTTATTTCTAAAGCAGGAGAGTGAGTACACTAGCACGCAGTGTGAACAGTTTCTGCACATCTATCTGCACTCATCTTTGCCAAACAAAGATACGAGTACCGTTGTAAATCGGAAAGGTTACTCATGAATACAAATCAAAATTTACCTTGTTAACTCCTAAATTGTCCAATTGCTTGAAATTATCAACTTTCAATCCAAACGCACTAGAGTTTTTCCGTGCAGCTTTGAGCTGCATTTCATTCCTTACGAAAAATAGTTGATTAAGGTCACATACATTTATTAAATGGTTCAGAAATCGGAAATTTTACTTCAGTTGGTAGTGCATGTTTGGGTAATCATAGTTTCAGATAATGTAGGTAAGTTTGATCATCATTTTGAGCAATGAGCAGTGCTTAGGATTCGGATCAAAAGCCTTTAAATTGGGGGAAACTTTCACCTTTGAAATAAAAGAGATTGTTCAATACCTGATAAAAAGGTTCCTCCCATTTCCGCTCTCTGAATACATGGGCAGGCATCCTTAATATTTATTTATTTCAATAAAATTATACAAAAAAAAACCCGATGGCCTCTGCGACGAACCATGAATCCCGACAGAATATAAAATTTAACTTTCAGGACCACCCTGATAAAAATGATCTATATCAAACAAAACCTTCATATAGTTGACACATCTTTTTAAATACAACTCTTAAACATATGAAAACCAGTTTTTCCTACACATTTTGAGACAACCTTTGAAAACCGAACAGGACCATTCTCCTGGAATTTTGTGAAATACCATGAGTGGAATTAAGCTGGCTTACTAAAATTCAATGAAGCAACCCTTCAGAAAATGATAAATACCCCCCTCCTTGAGGGGTATGCAATTTAAATAAAATCTTTCACTAAAAAAATATTAAATAATAATAAACTTAACATACCTCGCACACCATGAAACAGAGCAAGGCTCCACTGGTAAAATGATTATCAGTGTTTTCAAGGTTGATAAGTAGTTTAAGCATGGGACTGGGTTCGGGTTGTGCACTGTCACTGTTTCGGAACCATAGCGGCTCTTAGAATTAGATCTCACCCCAACACGTTTCTCAATGTGCGTTGTTGAAATTATTTGAGAAATTACTTAGTTTGCTAAGTATTTGCTTATTTAAGGTACCCTGTCGGATATATGAAGTCTGAAGAAAGTACCTGCTCCGTTCATGTAGTCTAGGGATTTTAATACAGCGTTCACATCATCAATCTAAAATAAAAACTTGTTATCCTGAGAATATTAGCTTAGAACGAAAAATGGTATAAGAAAGATCAGACAAATGCCTTGGTCTTCACGTGCGCTAAGGAAACAGAACGTTCCCCTTGCAATTAAGACTCGTCAGATAACTCATCACTTAGAAGGGTAAATTAGATTTTATTAATCCACTTCCCCACTCAAGAAAAGCAAAAAAGTTTCTGTATTTAAACCAAAGAACATGTTTTCGACAATAATATGGGCGGGAGGGAGGGGGGGGGGGGCTTTGTCAATCTAGCCCCTACCGGACCCTAAAAACATTTACCTAAGGTAACACTTCGGATCCACTCAGAACCTCAAGTCTTCCAATCCTGACATAGTTAGAAGTAAAAATCGGAAAATATGATTCAAAATACTTGCTAGAAAGGATAATGGTCAGATAGGAGCGAAAGACTAATTTACAGTTATGTCATCACATGCATCAGTTGAACTATGGTGTCATCAGATTAATAATTAGGTGAAAATTGCCCGTTTACTCCAAAGGTAAAATCTTGCGATGTGAAAAGGCCTTCTTAAGGGTTTTGTGTTTGTCCTAGAGAACGATTTTTGG